CCCACATGCACTTTGCAGCGACTCCTTTGGGGGGAAACTTTCCCGTGTCGCGCGGAGACCGCGGCGGCGGCGGCGGCCCTCCCGACCGGGAATGGTGGAATAAAGTAGTAGCGGTCGAAGAAAGGGAAGGGGGACATGGGGAGGGAGGGTCGCGGCGGGATGAAGCCATACCGCCCAAAGTGCGGTGCGTATCATAACAATACAACACACTTACCGCCGGGGCCCCGCCGCCCCCGCCCCGGGCGCACGGCGCCTTACGGCCTCACGGGGGGAAATGACCCGTCATTACACCAGTAGGAGCATTACAGGGGGCGGGGCCATCTCAATGACCACATCAGGCACACATCGATTTTTCCATCAGTCTCTACACCAACCGACGGTGCGACACACAACAACCCCACGGCCGGGCAGCGGCAGGTAACGCAACTTCAAGAGCGTGTACATATACACACACAGCCTTTACGAAAGAATAAAATGAATGAACACCATTTCAGAGTTGGGTGTAGAGGGACACTTGCGCGGAATCTCGTCCACTCTCCCCTGACATATCAGTCTTTTCGAGCGCTTCTACATACATATTTGATGTCAACAAGAAACATGCACGAACATCAAAGCGCGCCTCGAGCCTACAGCGTGCCTACAGCACGAACAACCCCCACACGGCGACTAAGTATATTCCCCCGGTGGATTTGACTCGGCCGCGGAGCAGCCATACATCAACAAGCCCCATATCATCAGACATTTCCCCGTACTTTATACTATAAAAAAAATAAAACGTAGCATCATTAACGAAAAGCTTCTGCGGCCACCGAAAATTGTTCCGGCCAGCCTGACGAGCAAAGTGATTGAACGGGGGCGAAAAGGGAGGAGGGGAATGAGGGAGAGAAATAGGAGGAGAGAAAAGGGGGCAGGAGACCCCAGACATTTCATCAATTTGCCAGTGTATGCACATAGGCCCACCCAACCCCTAATGCCCAACCATTATTACCAACCCCGATAAAATAAAAATAAAAATCGCATCCCTCTGCTGTGGCGTGGCCCTATGGCCGCCCGCCAGCCCGCCCGGCAGACGGACCACACCAGAGGAAGCCGGTCTTATTTCGCTGATGGCACTGGATATCTCGCCGACCTCGGGAGTGAGGGGGAGGCCCGTGGGAGCGGGGTGGTGGCGCGCGGCGATATGAAGGAAACATTTTGCAAATGGATCGCTAACGAGGGTGGGCCGTGGCCGCGAGGAGACGAGGTCCGAGCGCCCAACTGAAGCCGGAGAAGACCCTCTGTTCCGGCACGACGGCGGGCCCTCTGCTGGCAGTGTACTCTACAAACAAGAGGGTGCACACACGGCCAGGCGAGGCGGTAAATTTCAGAATGGCCAACGCCGGCCAACGCGAATGACGACAACACAGCTGTCTTTTCCACCGGCACCGGGGTCGTCAACGTGTCATTTACCGTCAATGATTGACCGCCGGGCAGCAGCAGGGCGCCACTATACTATATACTCAGTCATTTCAACGGCAGTCGCACTTCTGCTGCTTCCTTCACTTCACAGCGGCGCCCATTTGCTTTACTGGCGCTCCAGTCCCACCTGCTCCCATCCCTTCGTCCCCGCCACGCACGGGGCCGTTAGACTTGTACTTGCACGAATTCGCTACAAACGGGGACTACACTGACAACTCTGTATTTCTCTGTTTGAACCCCATCTCTCGCTTTTCGCCCTCCTTTTGCCCGCATTACCGCAGACGAACCTCGGATGCAAATTCTCTCTTAAACCGAAACGCTGCCGAGGTAATGATGACTTACAGTAATGCGGCCGTACCACCTCACCTCCCCGCCCCGCCCCGCCCCGACCAGCGGCTTCATAAAGTGCAGGCTCGGCTCCCCTAGTGGACCGCAGCGCAAGAGCACCGCAGAGAGCGCCGCAGTGCCAGGGCCAGGCCAGGCCGGCGCTAACGGACACATGCGAAGTGCGCAGGCCGGCCGAGTGCAGGCAGGCCGTGGGGTGGGGCCGCCGCCAGCGGCAGGGACCTCCACGTGTGCCAACGGCGGCCAACGGTGGCCAACGAACGGCCCGCTGAATAACTGACGGCAGGCAGAAGGGCCGCGCCGTAAACCGCAGCTCAAGTTTACATCCGCGCAGTGGTGACCCGGCTAGCTGGGCCGCCCGCGGGTCGTGCATCTGCCGATCGCTCCGCCAGTAGCGCTCCCCTAAATCACGCGGGCCCCGCCGGACACATGTCACCCTCACCGCATTCCATTAGGGAGGCGTCCAGCGGGCTGTCAGCCCCCCCTGACGGGCGGAGCGGGGCCGCCGAGCCGCCAGGAAATGAGGCCCCCGAATCCGTCCAAATCCAAATCCGCTCTGTCAGGCCGGGCGAGGCGGGGCGGGGCGGGGTCACCCGGGCCACCTGGGCAGCCCCTGCAGTGCCTCCGCCCCGCCCCCGCAGCAACACGTCCCGCCC